CACACACACACATATATGTATACATACACAAATCTGCTCAGATCTGCTCAGATCTGCCGTGTATGAAGGTTCGACAGTGGTGCGGAGGAGGAGGAGGATGAGGAGGCGACGGTAGACTGCGTACTGCCGCGGAAGAGGAGACGACGCCATCATCGACCGGCGAATGCAGAGAGAAAAGAGAGTGAGAGAGAGCTTTCGCCAACTATGGAGAGGAGATAGTGAGAGAATCGCCGACTATGGAGAGGAGATAGTGAGAGAAGAGAGAGTGAAAGAGAGCCACTGCAGAGTGAGAGAGTATAGAGGGCAGAGAGAGAGAGAGTGAGAGATCAGGAATGAGGGTTATATTTTATTACATATATATATATATATATGAATAGATAGAGGGGCATTATAGTAATTTTATGTTGGGGAGAAACGGGGCCGGGGCCGGGCCAGGTCCGGGCCTGTGAAAGCTATCCTCGTCCCCGGCCCGAATCTGATCGAGGATTCAATTTCATATACCATCCCCGGCCCATGAGGAGTATTTTTAGGGAAAAAACTGCTCTTATCGGGGACGGGGGGTCGGGTCCCCGTCGAGCCAGGTTTAAATTGCCATCCCTATACATACACCCACAACATATGCCCTTAGCACCATTGCCCATTCATCAGAGTTGCGTGCGAAGCGTGGTGGTACCATAAGAGTAGATTCAGTTCTCACTAGTTTTTTATTTCCTCGTAGAAACATTTTTCCTGAGCTAGCCCAAAAATATATACCAAATGAAGAGATATCAAATAGTACTTTAGAAAATTTAGACATAGAAGATTTTGAATTAGAAGAAAAATATGAATCTTGGAGTATAGAAGATTTTCAACAAATTGTTAACCTAAAATTAATTTTCGCAAAAATAGGAAAACTAAAGAAAAAATCGATATACAAGAGAACAAAAATGATTTAGATGAAATAATAAGATTAGCTGAAACAACAGAAATTTTAGGAGAGCAACTCATGAAATACTGGGAAAGAAATAAAGTTTTAGCTAGTTTAGATATAAAAAAGAAAGATTATAGGATTATATCAGCACAAATAGATCATACGCCAGCAGATATAGAAGAATTTAGAACACAGAATAAAGAGTTATTAGATTTAAGAGTAATTCGACCTAGTAATAGCCCATATAGGAGCGCTGCATTTATGGTTAGAAATCATGCAGAGATAAAAAGAGGGAAAGCTAGAATGGTTATAAATTATAAAAGATTAAATGACAATACAGAAGATGATAAATATAACATACCAGATAAAGATCAGCTCATAAATAGAATATAGACAGCAAAAATATTTAGCAAATTTGATTGCAAGTCAGGGTTTTGGCACATCAAAATGGAAAAGGAAAGCATACCTTGGGTAGCCTTTTATTGTCCACAAGGACATTATGAATGGTTAGTCATGCCTTTTGGATTAAAAAATGCACCTTCCATATTTCAGCGCAAGATGGATAGTATATTTAATGAATATAGTTTTATACTGGTATATATAGATGACATATTAGTATTTAGCACAGATAAAAATAGTCACATAGATCATTTATATATAGTATTAGAAGAATTTATAAACAATGGAATAATAATTAATAAGAGAAAAATGGTATTAAATAAATCTCATTTAGAATATTTAGGAATGGAACTAGGAGATGGAAAAATCAGGCTATAACCCCACATAGTTAAGAAAATTTTAGATTACCCAGATAAATTAGAAGATACAAAGCACCTTCAATCATTTTTAGGAATTCTAAATTATGCAAGAATGTATATTCCTAATCTCAGCAAGATAATAGGACCTTTATATAGCAAGACCACACCCACAGGACAAAAATATTTTAACCAACAAGATATAACTTTAGTAAGAAAGATTAAAGACATTTGTAGAAATTTACCCGACCTACAACTTCCCTTAGAATCATAATATATAGTCGTAGAAACAGACGCAAGCCAATTAGGAAGGGGAACAATATTATTAGCTAAACCTAGCAAGTATGATAGTAAAAATAAAGAGCGCATTTGTAGATATAGTTTTGAAAAATTTAAAGAAAAAGATACGGCCACGACCAGCTTAGATTTTGAAATATTAGGAATAGTATATGCAATAAATAAATTTAGATTATTTTTACATAAGCCCTTTACAATTAGAACAAACTGTGAAGTTATAGTTAGATTTCATAATAAACTTAATGAGCGTAAACTTAGTAGTAGAAGATGGGCAACATTTTTAGAATGTATAGTAGGACAAAGATATAAAGTAGAATTTGAACATATTAAAGGGAGTGATAATAAATTAACAGATTGGCTAAGTAGGAAAATTTATTTAAAAAAAGAAAATAACCAATTTAATTTTTGTGCAAATAATGGAGAATAGCAAAACAATGAACTTTGGTGGATTGCTTTTCCCATTTATGAAGGCAGAAACAAATTCAAAGCATTAACAGGAATCGAGCTAGACGCAGTTCAACAGTGTCTTTTAGATAACCTGTGGAACAATCTTAACCACCCAGCTAAACGTTTGTCAGCTTTAAATTCTCTCAATATATATTTTTCAAAAATCCAGAATAAACTTTTGTCTAAAAGTTTTTCTTTCTATGTAGTAGCTAAAGGAACTAAGTCTGGTATTTACCATGACTGGTTAGAAGTTGAACCTTTAGTTAAAAATTTTCTTGTATCTCAGTTTAAAGGATTTTATGATTTCGAGTCAGCTAGTACATATGCCCGCAAACAAATAGGAACCAGTTACTTTATTAGCCAAATAGTTAAAGATTATCTGGACACATTGAGCAAGATGCAGTCAACTATTCTTGCTATTAGTGAAGCTCTAGTTAGCCAGATAACAGGAAGTAGTAGTACTAACCCTCAGCCAGATTCTCAAAATCCTTTCCAAATGTGCCGACATTGTGAAGGCTTTACCAGAAATTTCAAGAAAATTATGGATAAAGGCAAAAAGGTCAGTGAAGAGCTAGACCAGCTCCGAGACGAGGAAAAACAGTTGAGAGCAATCATTCGAACCCTAACCAGCTAGCTCAAAAAACTAACTTCAGAAAAAATACCTACTCCCTTTCTAAACGTAGAAATCAGACAACTCACTAGTGAGGAATTTGAACAATTGAGTGCTAGAATGTATTTCTTCAGGCATTCTATCATTCAATCTTTTTGTGGGAAAAATCGAGAAATAGAAGACCTTAAACCCTATATATATATCCTGACCGAAGATAGTAGAAATAATGAGCTAGTCACTATACAACAGTTTCTTCAAAACCTCTCCATAGCAGGAGTTTAATGCCTTGGTATGGCATATCAATGGACTTATCTCTACGAGGATGAAAAACAACCCTGTTTACAAGAAGAAAGATGTATAAATAGGCCAGAATATTTTGGAAAATGTCAGTGTAATATAGATTTTAGCATTTGCCTTTGCCAGATAAATCTAGCAACTTTTGTGCCATTGGAGATAGAGATTAGGGGCACAACGCGTCATCTAACAGCCTCACAATTGTTAGATTACGGCTTTGTTTCTAGAATAATTTTTTCAGATCCTGATCAGACAGACAATTTTGGAAATAAACTTACTCATTCAGTACTTTGTGTAATGGAAAAGCATCATCCATTTGTAGAAGTATTAATTGATAGCAAGCTACCAAAATGGAAAGGAATAAGACGCATTCCAGCTAAGCATAAAATGTACCTTAGAGGAACTTTGACATTTCTAGGATACCCAGGACTTTTCAATCGGAGACCCTGGCCATGCAAAAAATTTTCACTCAGAGATCAGCTCAATAAATGGAGGAAATTTGCTAGTAATCCTCTATTAGCATATAATGGAAGCTATGGTAATCTCGTATGTGAAGATAGAAATCAGAAGATATACTGTAACTTAGCCATTCTAGGTTTTCCCTTCAACAAAAAAACATTTGTCGATGAAAGCCGGTACCCCAATTATCAGTATAGTGTCTCTCATGATTCACCAGTAATGGAAGAAGAAGGTAACCAATGGGAGAATGAACTAGATAATGGGGACGATTTTACGATCAACTTTCAAGCAGATGTTGAAGATCTTTCAGATAGAATGTATGGGTGAGAAAATAAAAATAAAAATAAAAATAAAAATGGTGCACTCCATAATTAGACTCGTTAAATATCTTGGAAGTATTATAGTCACAAAATTCATATTTCATTTACTATTTTGGACTTTTAGGATTTAGACTTTTGTTTGTTTGTTTGTTTTTGTTTTTGTTTTTTTTTGGGACTCTTTGAAAAAAAAACTAAATAAATTGTATATATTCATTTATATAATACATAGATTATTTTAAATATTCTAATAATCTAGTCGGACCAGTCCATGTTGGGTAGTGTTGCTTGGGAACATCAAATTTTAGCTTAAAAATTAAAAAATCACAAAAAATTAACAAATTATATAAAAAAAGCAAATTTTTTTTTATTTTATCTCTACTTTTTCACAATTTTCGTAAAAAAAATCATTTCAAATAGATTAGTTTCCTTTACCTCAAATTTTAACAATAATAAAAAAAATAAAAAAAAGTTACTAAGGCTTCGTTCGGTTAGGGTTTTTTGGACTAAAAAAACGAAAAAAAAAAACAAAATAGTTTAAATAAGGCAATAAGATAAAATATTACATCAAAAATCATAATCATTCAATTTTTTCTCTTACAAGAGTAAAAAAAGCCAATCCAAACGAATTTTTTAATTTCAAATTAAAAAAAGTCTTGATTCAAAAAAATCAACGAAAAAAGCCCTCGCTAAATGACAACTAAAATGGTAAGTTATCAAACAAGGCATAAATGGGCTTGAAAGTTTAACTCAGCCCAACCCCATAAGCCTGACTATTCATCCAAGCCTTTAAAAATACAAGTTGGGCGGGCCAACAGGCCAGTTAATTATATGGGCCTACCAATTGTTGTCCAGCCCGGCCCATGGCCCGTTCTGTTTTACAGCAGCTTCTCTCCGAATCTGAGCTCTTCCCTCTCCTTCCCGCTCAACAAAATTTCTCTATCTATTAGCTCCATCTTCTACACATTCACAGAGCAGAGAGAGAGAGAGAGAGCGAAGAGAAAGATGGTATGCGACAACACAATTGCCAAGCCTATATGCTCAGTCTGCTACGAAGATCTCAATCCAATCATCGAAGACCTTCAATCAATCTCCATTTGCGGCCATGTCTTCCACGAGCTCTGGTCAGTCACTTCTATGCTCACATAGTATAGTTATATCTCCACAATTGTTCACTTCAATCGATTATTATTCGAGAACGATCTTCAATTTGATGTGTTTTTTTGACAAACCTAGCCTTCAACAACGTATCGAGTACTGTTCAAATGCGAAGAAGAAACGGTGTCCTGTATGCAAGCAGGCCTTTTCGGAGGCCAATGTTAGTCGGCTTTATTTCCAATCAGTAGGCAATCTCTATCAGAAATCGATCAATTGCGAAGATAATCCAGGGGAGTTGCGTAGGGAAATTGAGACATTGGAAGGGGAGGTTTTAGGACTCAGATCGGCGATAGAGCGTTATCAGAAAGATGTCGAAGAACTCAGCAAGGAGGTAATTTAATTTCATTGCTGTCTGTTTGGATGCTCAGAAATGTAGGAAACGAAAGGGAATTAGTAAATGTACTATAATTTTGAAATCAGATGCAATATAAACATTTGCTTATTGATTGTAGAGAATGTGTAGCAAAATAAAGGAAATAAGATGCTGGTTTGTTCATGATAAATTTTAAGGTGAGGAAATAAATGTGAAATTTCAATTGGGGACCATTCATTAGGTGTGATTTTGAAAACACATATAGATATAGTTATCAGGGGTGTTTTGAAGAGAAAAAAAAAAGGCAGAACATGCTACCCGATGCATATTAGTTCAAATTCTATGGTTTGGTTTGGTTTTCTAACAGAATGGTTTGAAATTTATGCTAATCTATCTTGATTGGTTCCGGTTTCCAATTAATAAGAATAGTTGATTATGGTGGTTCACCGATTAAGGTTCAAAATGCACTTGCTCTCATTCCCATTGGCGTCTTTGAACCCCAATATCATTCAAACGTCAGTAAGACCTTCATTCATTCTATTTACACTGTACTTCTTTCTTTTTTTTTTCATAAAATATTTGTTGTTGTACAGTTTTTCATTATATATATGATTTTTACATTTATTGTGTTATTGCAATTTTCATTTTCCTAGTAATTAGTATAAAACATGAATATATATATATATATATATAACACAGTGAATCACTGAATCATTATTTCTGTATCTATTCATTTTCCTGTGTTGAAATTGTTTACAATCTTAACCTGTCCAATTTATATCCGTGTCTTTCCAAGTTGCTATTAGCCACCCATCCTTCGTCCCAAGTCCTTGGTAAGTCTTTTGGTTAGGCAGTGTTGGATTTTAGGGGTTCTCCGAATTGGGTATGTGTGAAAACATCGTATGTGAAAACATGATAAAATTAGACAATGTATTGAGCTCACTGTAAACTATTTCAAGATAAAATGAGTCGATTATTTAGAAGTAATTTATCGGTTAGTTCTAGGTCAACAACTTTGCCTTCTATACCTAATCAAGGTTTAGTAATCAATGAAGAAGATATAGAAATACAAAATGATAAAATTGATTTAAGTTGGAATATACCATGTTTAACAATCAAAGAAATTTATAAAACTACTTTTATACAAAATACATTTAATGTTAATCTTCATGTTAAAACTTTAGAACAAGTCTATGCTTTAGAAAAACCTAGAGAAACATGTCAATTATTTGATGCTAATACTATTAAACGACATTTAAAAACTGGTCACAATTTTATTCATTTAAGATTAATTCAGGTTGGAATCAAACCATTAACACAACAAGGTAAAAATACTTTTGTTTTACTATACTTTAGAGATGCTCGTTTTCTTGATTATAATGATAGCTTAATGTGTATGATGAAAACTGGTCTTCACAAAGGACCCGTCCAGTTTAATTGTTTTCCTGATTTCACTTCTTAGAGACCCCCATATATTAGATGCTTTAACTCTAAATATTCAATTACATGGCTCATTTACAAATATGAAAGAAAATGTTCATAATATTGCTTTAATTTATCGTGTTCATTACAAATGTATTAAAACCAATTTGAATGTTCAAGCTTTACATAAAAGTCCTAAAGACAAAACGTTATTAATCCAAAGTAGGTATAATGATACTAATATAAATATTCCTCAAATGATTGAATGGAAAAATATTACTCTCCCCGACCAATGGATTACAGTTAACGAAAATTACAAACATAATCAACGACAATCTACTTGTCAAGATATTCAAGATATTCAACAATTTATTGATAGATCTGTTAGGATTAAATTTAATCAATCTCAATCTTCTCGTCATAGTACTTCTAGTATACCTACTGATGTTGAAATTGAAGATGAAATATTTAATACACCTTTATTCAGAAAAAATAGTCAAATTCATCTAGGTCAACCTTCCCATAGTAAAATGAAAGGAATTGATAATTCCACAACTTAGTAAACCTGTTTATTCTACTTACACACACCTATATGAAGAAGATACTGAGTCTCAAGACTCTCCAACTCAAACTGATTTCGAAGTTATACCTCCAATAAATGCTCAGTTAATGACTATTAGTAAACTCTTTACTCATGATCTTGATAAATTACATATTGTATTTAAATCTAAAGATAATAGGACTAAACGTTATGCATATCGTACCAAATATGATTTGACTCAACAATCTAAAATTACTCGTCAATGGTACAAATTTATGATTGAACATAAAATTGAAATTCCTTTCTTTGATTATTTCGAAGACCATTATAAAGAAGTTCAAACAATTACCAAACATAAATGGAAAACTTCTCCTACTACTACTATTAGTTCTAGTCATCCTCCTTTATCTACTATAATTATTGAACATCAAGGATCTGAAGTCCTGGCCTCTCCTTTTAAGTTACCCGACATTGACCTTGAAATCAAAAAAATTATTGAACAAAATAATTATACTAATCAATGTTTAAAAACTATTGGTAAACAATTAGATAAGATAGAAACTAATTTAGATGATTACTCAGTTAACCATACTTCTACTAAACAATCTTTAGATCAACCTTTGCTTAATTTACCTAGTAATCATTCCAAAAGAAATAGTTTAGTCACCCAAGATAATTCCACTGTTAAAGCTAAAGAACAATTATTTAATAAGTTAACCACTTCTGAAAAAGCTTCTCCATCTAGTGAAAAAGGTCTTACTGTATTAAACCAACAACCTACCCATGAGTCTGTCTCTACTCAATCAGAAACTGATACAACTGATAATGAAATTAATCAATTAGTCCAACAATTTCAATCCTCTACTCTTAATAAAATTCATTATCCTAAACCTAATCGTACTACTCTTACAAAAAATTGGTATTCACGACCTACTCCCCCAGATCTCCAATATAAAGAAAGAAAGAAACTAATCTTAATAATCAATTTTCTATATCTGCTAAAAAGTTATACGAATGGAATATTGATGGCCTTAGTAAAGATCAAATCCTTCAAAAATTAGATCATTTATCCATGGTTGCAAATAGTTATCTTAGTAACTACCTTGATTATACTCAACCTGAAATAGTCTCCTTAATCACTTCTGGCTTTACAGGTATGCTCAAATCTTGGTTGGAAAAATATCTTAATGAAGATCAAAGAGAATCAATTTTACATGCAAGATAAAAAGATGAAAATGATTTACCTATATTTGATGAAACTATTGGCTACTATAAACCTGATGGTATTAATATTTTAATATATACCATAGTCAGAAATTTTATAGGTACCCCTACTAATATATATTCTCGCATACATGATCAACTTAGTAACCTTACTTGCCCTACATTAAGTGATTTTAGATGGTATAAAGATGTCTTTACCTCTCGAGTTATGCTTAGAGAAGACTGGACTAAACCTTTTTGGAAAGAAAAATTTATTAATGGATTACCTAATCTTTTTGCTCATAAGATTAGAGATGTCCTTAGTCAACCTACAGGTGTTATTGAATATGATATCTTAACTTATGGTGATATAATTAGTACTATTCAAAAAGAATGCCTAAGAATGTCTATTGATCTTAAACTTAGTCAAAAAGCTGCCGAAGATAAACATACGGCTAAATATGAATTAGGTAACTTCTGTGAACAATATGGTTTACCTCCTGTATATATTTGGGTCTTTACACATTTTATAATTGGAGAATATGGAAATTTGAAACATGTTTGTTGAGGTTTTTAGAATGCTTCCATAGATAGTCCAGATACAGTGATGAATTTCCTAGCATAGAACCGTGGAATTGGTTATTTATTTTTATCTTTTGTGTTTTGGTTCCAGAGGTTTTATGTTTCAGTTTGGTTCTTAAATTGTTTGGAGCCATGAGAATTGTTTTGGTTTTTAGTTCGCTTCATAACTGAGCCAAACCAATCCGTGAATACCCTTAACAGTTGTGGTTAAGCTGTGCATGCATGGAATAGGTTTTGGAAATTGAAATGGAATGAAATTGTCATTGCAATCTGTCTGTCTCTCTCTCTCTCTCGTATTTTAAGAAACTGAGAGGAGGAAAATTTATTCAACTGGCTTTGTGAACTTTTTGTGTGTATGCTTAATCTTGTTGTTGTTATGTAATCTGATTATGGCAACTTCTGTATTAGCTGTGTTTTAGCAAGGAGCAGGCCAGAAAGGAAGCAACATTGAAGAATGAAGCTTTACGACAGAATGCATCTATTCAACAATTGTTTCATCTAAAATCAGAGGCATACAGTTCTTTCCAAATTGTTGAGTGTGTTTTTTGTGTTTTACATGTTTACACAGGTTGATTGAAACCTTCTCATTTAGCTCCTTCCTTGTATAATAGGAACTTGATAGATCAACTTTGGAGTGCGTGAGGCTGCAGGAAAGGAATATGGCATTGGCCAAAGAACTTGCAGCATTGAAACTGTAAGTGCCTTCATACTAGTGACAGAACCATTTATGTTTCGAGTCTCCAAACGAACTTTGTTGATTATTATGGCTATCTGGTTTACAATTAGGTCCTCTGATTTGAACCTGGAGGAAGAGGAGGTTATGAAACTTGCTTCTCTAGGTAACAAGGCCAACAAAAAAGAGACTATAGACATTTTAAAAAAGACTTTGGTCAGTTGCAACAAGTAAGTTTCTCTATCATTCCTTTTTTTTTTTGGGTATTTCCTTTTTTCTAGTAAATTATAAATATATTCATTTCAAACACTGGACGGAGGCAACGAACAATCTGGTTTGGGTTTCTGTTTAGGTTTGATTGGTTCAAGGACAAAGTTGAAACGGTATAAATGCTGAATTTGTTTCAACACCATGTCAAATCTGCGCACATGTTCAGCAAATATCCTTCTGTGTTATCCCTTTAATCACATTGCAGTTGTTACTGTTATGCCATATTAGAAAGAAATTATGAGCAGGAACATTTACTATTTCAATTCAGGTATCTTAGTATACATTTCCAATACTTCAAAATAACGGATAAATGAATCATTTGCCCTCAACAGGAGCATAGAAATAAGGTTAATTGGTATAACACTGAGAAATACTTACCGAAAATGCAGTCATGATTAGCCAGCTGTGTAGAGTTCAAACATACAGGCAACACAGTTAGGTGACTACAAACAAATTTGTTTGCAACGGGATTCTTCTCTCTCATAGAAGAGGAAAAAAAAAACACTGCTTAGAACTAGTTAAAAATGGCTAAATAAAATGAAAATTCAAGAGTTTCTCCCAGTCTTGTTGACAATCAGTTATAGTTTAAAGGTCCTCCGTGTTTTTTGGGTTAATCTACTGAGGAGGGTGGACCACAGTTTTGGCGTACATTTTTTATAATTCAAAATCTAGGGCTGCAATGATTTATTTGCCATAGTTTGTGCATCATCTGGTTTGTATTTGTGGTTGCCTTGAAGTTTGTGGATGTAGTGATGTGTCTTGAGAGTAATAACTAGCATTGGCTCAAATGTGTGCATCTGTGTGTGTGTTTGGGTTGAAGAATGTTTAAATATACTGAAAATTTGTCGCCATAATTGTGATTTATGTGGCATGTTGGAGCAGCTATTAACTTCTGTTTTGTCATTTTACAAGTTTCATTTCTTTTGCTTTAGTTGTCAGTTGGCGCATGATTCATAGCTTCTTTCCACAGGAGTTGCAAAGAATTGACAGCCAAATGCAATGTTCTAGGAAGAGGAGAGGCCCGTGCTCTTCGCAAACTCGGGAAGGCAAAAGAGAAGATAAAGAAACTGAAGGTAAATTCATCACGACCGAATAGGTGAATCGACCATGGTTAATTTGATTCAGGATATTCTAACGTGTGACCATTATCAGGCAAGGATCCAAGAACTGAAGACAGCTGTTGAAGTAAAAGATAATGAAGTTTTGAGGGCTTTAAAAGCTTCCAAGAAAACTATTCTTGAAGGGGATATACTGAACGATGTTGATTGGAATTCTAACTCTTCATCCATTAGTGAGGATTTAGCTGTCGAGAAAAACTGTTTTTCAAGGTCAGAGGCAGCTTCAGATACAAGAAGTGAAGTGCATAGACCATGTAACAAGGATGGGGTTTCAGGTTCAAGGAGTGTTAGTAAGGGTGATACAATACATACTTCATGTGCTGCTATGGATGAAGACACACTGTTGTTTCTTGATGACATTAAACAAGTTCAATCCTTTATAAATGTCGAAAAGGAATCACCCTGTTCATTTCCAATTTCCCAACCAGGTATATGGACCCCCTGGATTGTAAATTTAGTTTTGCTTGATAATTTGTAAGTAAGCAGATTGAGTTTTTTGCAACTCCCACTAGAAATCAAATGGAATGATTTTGCTACTGTAAATATAAATTTAGTTTGAAGAGATTTATGCTGCTTCTGTTCTTGATTTGAAGAATTGTCATTTTAACACTTTCTTACTCATTTATTTAATTCCAACTTGCAAAACCTCCAGGAGACCTTTGTTTTGCTGGTGGGTTGCTAGGCCCTGATGGAACTAAAAGGCATTTGGGGAAATGGTGCAAGCGGGCTCAGGCTAAAGGATCAGCTGTATCATCCATGGCAATGCAAGGATCAAGCACAAGTAGTAGGAATTTAATTGCTGATGAAGCTGAGGGCAGAGGTGGCAAAATCAAAATTCTGAGATCTCTAAATTAGTTGTCATTGGTGGGTTTTGTCTTCTTTATTTCTTATTGAAGTCTTAAATACAAGGTCCTTAGGTTGTAGCCCTTGTACTTGAAACTCCCAATTTATTTGATCAGTTGATTTCGCAATTAAATTTTTTACCTGCTCTTTGATAGGGCATTCAGCATCTATCCGATTATACTTCCTCATTCAGCTGGACACTTTGTTACTTGTGTGATCAACCATGGGTTGTCTTTGTAGTTTGTACATATTTTCTATTGCGCATGGAATTTCAACTTCAAAGTTACATTTCTGTACAAAATTGTTTAGAGCACTCTAATTTTAATAATGGAAATTCATTTGTTGTCTGATGGTTTTGGTATCGTGTATGATATGATAGTAGGGAAACTTAAAAGAGATGCAAGTTTGGAGCAAAAACAAGTAGTTTGCACTTTGCAGTCTCTATGATGCTTGCAAATTAAACTGGAAGGTCAATAATCAAATCTGGAAGGTGCGCACCAATTGTGTTTTTGATGTATCAATTTGATGTAGAGAGATGAGAAAAGTTTATTTTTGCACACTATATCTAACCATGAAAAAGTTCTCATCATAGACTTCATTGCCCCTCTCAATATTATGAGAATTTGTTTTATGTAAAATACTATTTTCTAGAAGTTTTATACATGATCTTCCACGAATTATGTGTTAGTGACATTTTTGTAATTAAAAGGCATCTAGGTGTTTTTTTTGTTTGTTTTGTTTTAAAGTGATAGGCTCACAACCTGCCACATGATTTCGTATAAATTTTGGATAATATCTACAAGCTGAATTTTTATGCAGAAAACATATCTGAATGCTGGCAGGTGTTTGGTTTGAAATGAAAATATCACAGAAGGTCACATACATGGTTATTATGTATGAAAATTTTATACAAAAATTGTTTGTATAACATTACTCATTATTTTTGTTTATTCTTAGTATGTTTTTTGTACAATACTCTTGTTTATATATGTATTGTTCCATCCAAGCTAGCATCAAGGCCCAGAGGATCATCAATTGCTGCACAGAAGTGTTGCGCATGCACACTCCTTGGTTGCTGAGTGCTCTAGAAATAAGGTAAATATGACTATACTGAGTTCTTGTCTCTATTTTTTATTTTCATAATGTGCTGGAAAATTGTAAGTGTTGGTAGAGGTATTGAAAAATCTATAGTAAACTGCATGTGCAGGTTTTGGTCCAAGTGTTTGTGCAAATGTCTAAATGATTTTTGTGGTTTAACAAATCAATTTGAACTTCTGAATGGTGCCATTTTTCTCTTTAATTCTCTACCCACAGTATTTGCAATCCTCTTCAATTTGTGGAACCATCCTATTCACAATTTGCTCCTTTATACTAGTGAATATCTGAAATTAAGTAATATTTTGCTTGTAGTTTAGGATCTTGAATTTGGTGACCCTATGACATCTTTATTCCTCCTTAATTTTCCCTGCCGTGAGAATATATTTAAGGAATATGCTAACCACTGCCCAATGAGCGGTGGTTGATGTTGATATGTGTAAAAATTGTATTAAAATATATAAAATGTATAAGAATATATGAGTTTAGCATAGTTTGATTCTTAACGTAAGTTCATTAGGTCGTTCTTAGTAGGGCCCTATATTTAAAATAAGAAATTAAAAGCTATGTCAAAAAGGAGGAACTATTATCACATATCACTATACAAATAAGAATCCAAATATGTTTTTGCATCACTTTGGAATCCTAAATCAACAACACATGCATAGGTAGTGCTAATAAAGTCAGGAAAGGGCTAGGAAAATGGTTTTTTTGATGAAAAATTGGAAGCAAACTAGAAAAAAAAAAGTGGGTAGGAAAAATTAGAATCTTGCAAATTATATTCTGTCAAAATGTCCTTTTCGACTAGTGTTCAATGTAAAATCTTCCAAATTCCTCAAATTTAATACTGGAATGGTTGATTTGAAAGGTGCATGGATTTAAGATAGCCTAGCATCATCTCTGGTAACAGGAATAAAATGTAAAAAAAATGCAAACAATGAAATTAAAGACCAGTGAAAAACTCAAGGCTTGCCTGTTTGGTGTTGTTTTTTGCAAACTAAACCTTAATCATTCCTCCTAAGATTAGTTTTTTTTATTAATTTTTTTTTAAAAAAAAAACTTACTTAAGTTACTTTTGCATAATACTTGACAGCAATTATAAACTTGAGTTAATTGCTTCAACCACATTGAATTTGCTATTGAGAAGAAGAGACTAAGGGTTTGTCTGGTATAATTTTTTGCAAGTTAAAATTTAATAATTAGAAAGAAATTAAAAGACTTCTTTCTTTGTTTTTCAATAATTATCTTTTTTTTGTTCTTTTCCCTAGCTTATTTAAGTTATTTATGTTTCATAAGCTACATCGAAATGGAATGCTTTTGGGTCCATGTTGAACTGCATGTTTCTAGCAAATTCCTTGTTCTTTTTCTATTTCTGTGTTCTCTCCCTCTCTCTCTCTCTCTCCCTTCCGTTTGATGACTGGTAATCTGATATATATAACCCATGAGATGTTTTTATTTTCCTTACCTTTTTGCTTTGTCAACATTCAAAAGGAAGAATAGAGAAATGTATTGTTTAACATTTTTGAAATCCATAGGAAATCTTAGGAAAGACTTAGGTTAGTTTGGTAAGTTTCAAAAAAGTTAAAAAGTCACTATCTTATTTAAGTCACATCATCTTGTTTAAATTACATCACCTCTCTAACACATCACTTCAAACCCAACCCAAATCTAATTCATATTTCACAAAAAGTAAAAAAGTGCACTTATTTTGATTATCTCAAATAATCCCTTAATACAAATTCACCTCAAGTAAGTTGTAATGTTGAAGAAGAACCATTAAGAAATTACCATTTTGTTAAATCCATGGGCTAGTGACGCGGATGATAAAAAGGTTAAAATAAATAGGTTTACCATGAATTATTTGTTTATTTGTTAGTTACACGATAACAATACTTTTTGCAAATTGTTTGAATTCTTCGTTTTTCATGTTTTTTTTTTATTTATTTAATCTTTAGTGATTATTATTATTTTTTATATTAATCAAATATTTTTTTTATCTTTTAGATGTACTTAAAAAATAAAGGGAATTTTTTTAAAAAAATTTCAGGATTTGACCATGATAATAAAATAAATTATGAGTTTTTCAATTACTATAATATTTTGATTTGTTTTCAATCTAAATTATTTATCTATTTTCGTTAACTAAAATATTTTTTTTTGCCAGTTTACTTAATGAAAATAGATAAATGGTTTAGATTGAAATAAATTAAAAGATTAAAATTTAAATTGATAAAATTAAAATTTTAGAATATATTTTGTTATGGGTTAAACTTTGTTTTTTTTGTTTTTTTTTGTAATTTTCCCAAAAATAAAATATTTATGAAGAAATTTAAAAAAATTACTAAATTAAAAATATGAAAATGTATTGATATTTTTTAGATTTCTTTATAAATATTTTATTTTTTAAGTGTATTAAAATTAAGTGAATATAAAAAGTAAAACAAATAAAATATGTAAAAAATATGATAAAAGACCAAAAAACATGAAAATAAAAAAGTCAAAAATAATTTTAATTTCAAAACCACATTAAGTGGATATATTTTTATGTGAACAATTGATGGAGCATAGCAACAAAAAGAGATTTCGATATGGTGTAGTTTATGGGAGTTTTTTTATAACTTTTTTTAAAAGTTTATAAATATAATTATTAAAAAATTAGTTTCAAGAATACAAAACAATCAAATATAAAAAATATTTAAAAAAAATAATTTTAATAAAATAATATATATTTTTTCTATTCAAATAAACGGAGTGTAATATGACAGTTGTATTATTACTTGTTGAGCACGCTCAAACTAGTCATATTCAATGGCTCTGTTTGGTAAGGGTTATTTGTGCTAAAATAGTTAATAAAAATAAAAGATAATTTAGTTAAAATCTTTTTATTGGATCATTGTTTAGTGAAAAAGACAATTAAATTTATTTTGCTTCATAAATTTTTCTAAGAAATATGTGCATAATTGAGTAATGATAGAATAATTTTTTTTTGTTGGACAATATTATCCATGCGCGCGCGCGCGCACACATATATATATATCATAGAACTCTTTTAAGAAATATTTTTATTTTATTTTGTACAAGTTTAAAAATGTTCTGTATAATATTATTATGAATCAGAATAATACGTTACTATGAAACAGAGTAATATAGTAACATGTTAATTTAGTTCACAGTAATATGTTACTGTCAAACAGGGTAATATGTTACTGTTTCCGTCAATTTCGATGGTATTTTTTTTTTGTCCAGAATTTCATAGTTAACGTAGATCTTATTTGATAGATCTTGATGAGATGATTTTAAAGATATTAATTTTGTTAAAATTAAAGTTTAAAATATTAAATCACTCATTAAGTATATTTTCGTAATAGTGGTAAGCGTCGGACTTTTTAAGAATTTTTTTTTTGTGTTTGTCTTTAATGTATTAAAGTTTTATTGCGAGGGGGTTTTGACCAAATTTTTCCGGATAAAATAGGCTAAAGTAATCAATAAAATAAAATATCATATCTAATTCATAATTATTTCATTTTATTTTCACAACTATCAAATTAATTAATTTTTTTTTCAAATATAACTTTTTTAATTAAATTAAAAAATTAATTAAAATAGTCAACTTTTCAAATTAGCCAAGTCAACAAATCAGACAGTACCAGCCTCTTTAATGCAAATCTTTTGTTTATTAAATTGCGAGCTTATCTGGAGTCATGACCTTTTTTTTATTCACTTTTTTTTTTTTGGTTACATGAAAATCTTCCTATCTTCCTTCCTCTCGTAGATCTAAGACAATGCTCCTTATAGAGATCATCAAGGTGTTCTGTTGTTCATTATTATTTGTTTTGAATAAGAAACTATAACTTGAGAATTTGTCCCGACCTCTCAAATCATCAAGGTGCTCTATTGTTTGTTGTTATTCGTTCTGTGTCGGAGACTATAACTTGAGAACTTGTCCCGATTTTCAAGACAAGTTTTGCTTAAGTCAGGACTCGCGCAGCGGGAGAGTATTGAATTCACAAGCATTGGGGTAACAACAACTTGAAACTAATCTCCTAACTAATAGTGCGTGAGTATTGAATCCACAAGTATTGAGATAATAATAACTTGAGACTAATCTCCTAACTAACAGCATTACGTTCAAGAAATTGGTCCAAAGAGTTTCAAACTTGAGAATTGAGATTTTAACCCCCACACCTTTACCAAGTGCGCTACATGCCTTGAGTTTTTTTTTTAATGTTTTTTGGGCGGTGACTCTAGTTGGATTTCTTATAATTTTAATTCCCACACGTGTTGCAACATCCTTTACTTGTGTCACTTGGCAAATGACTGACACTGATAAAAAGACTAATAATTAAATAATTTTGTAATATTTAAATTATTGCTAATTTTATTCTCAATGTATAATTTAATTTGATTTTTAATATTTAAATTATGTTAATTTAGTTTTTAACATATAAAAAATATTTTAATTTAATCTCTTAAACGCTGTTAAAACTAGCTATTAATGTGGGAAAACACACTTTAAAAATTGGACTTTTATATTCTATTTGGTTGATTGAAATGAGATAAAATGAAATGAAATAATCATTATTTTAGAAAGGTAAATAATGATTCTATTTACAAAGTATTTTTTAATATTTTTTTAGTCAACTAAAATATAAGAATAAATATTTTGATGAAAATTTTATTTCACCTAATTTCAATGAACCAACTAAAATTAAAATATGTGATTTGTATTACTTGACTTTTAAAATTTGACATTCTAATCTTAAGTATTACATGAAAGTGGGTTTGCGAAAAAATAGGATGCTATTGGAAGACAACCAGACAAGCGGGTCCATATGGATACCTTAGAGGAGGATAGAGTCCAAGGCTGACCTTAAAACAAGTCAACAGCCACCGATATAGTTGAATGCCTTTGACCGTTAGAATTTCACAATTTCTTGGTTTTATACACAAAAATCGTTTTCTTAAATAAATTTTTGAGTAATGATGATAATGATAAAAATGAGCAGCCCATGATGCACTCCAACATGTATCTAAAGATTTAGGCACTATTTGGGCAAACTATATAAGTATATTTTTTTATTTTTTTTTAAATTATCATAAAGTTTTTTTTTTAATCTTTCCACTATCTTTTTTTTATTTT